TTGATATTGGTAGCTCAGCAATCGCCACCGCGATTTTGCGCCTGGCTTTGGGTTACGTTGCGGCGGTGACAATCGACATGGGTTTCTTGGTGGAGGCCCAGTCGGAGGAAGAATTGCCGGAGAAATTGTTTGGGGCTGTCAGAATTTGTCAAATGGAGATGAATTCTGCAACATTTGTTGATAACTCCACACCGTCAAGTAAAGTTTTGCCCTGCGAAGATGAAAGTGAAAATGAAGATGAATAGTGGGTTTATTTTTAATATTTCTTTTTATTTTTATTTTTCAATCAATGAAAAATTTGGTGGCAATGTGGAATATTTTTTTAATTATTTTGGTAAATTTTCTGTTTTGATGTGCAGATTAAAAGTTCGAGTATAATTATAATGTTTAAGAATGTAGGTAGTACGGTTGTCGTCCAACCTATTTTTCGAACCAATCTTTAAAATGGACGAAGTTCATTCTCAACTTTTAACTAAAGTCGCACAATTAGTCTTTTACGATGCACCATCCAAGTCTCTCTGTGTGTCTCTCACTTTGTTCAACTTCATGAAATTTTAAGTTAGGCACTTGTATTGAAGACTCAAAGTTCTCGATCTAGATCACGTACCGTTTTGATAAGTGAATAACTCAATCCTTGAAACTTACTATAGCCCCCAAGTGTAAAGAATTGACATTGAAGTGTCAAACCTCTTTGTTGATGCGAGCTCTTAGGTCGATTTTCATCCTTCTCTGATAGATGAATCTTGCAGTCAAGTTCCGTGATACCTTTGCGTTCAAAGGTTGCTCTTCCTTCGGCCTGAAGGAGCTTTTCACACCTCGATTGACTTTTGGGAGGTTTAGTTCCCATGGCTTTCAAAAAAATGGGATACACCCGCTACCACCCGTCCATTTTTCAATCTCTTTTTTATTGGCTTGGCAGAGAGATGTTTGTGGCATTGTTCTTTTTTAGCAATGATCTGTTTTTTTTGTTTGCATCTTGCTGTATGTTTGTGAGTTTCGATTGGCAAAAAGGGATTGATTGATTGATTGATACAACCGTGCTACACGCACAGCTTCTTTCACAGCTTGGTTCACAGTGCTGAGCTAGAAAATGGTTAAAAAAAAAAAATTAAGTTAAATTTGAAAGAAGCAAAAATCGGGTTATTCGTATATCTTCGAGACCCGACTCAAAACCTAACCCCTAACCTCTCCACCGCCTGCCTTGCGAAGCTCCCTCTCGAAAGTTCCAGGCGACCGTCGACCTTAACTCCGGCCGGCAAAACAGCAGCAGCATTCCGCGAGTTGTTCGCCCACGTTCTCGTTAAGATCTATACCCTCTAGCTACGACCGATTCCGAGGCGACTGACCGCGTCCGACTGCCAAATAACCAGGACGACCACTGTTACAACCCTTCCGTTGGCGGTAGACAAGCACTGAACTACCTCATTCATGTTGGGTAAGTACAAAGAAGGTGACATAAGTACAAATAAATTAGCAAATTTTTTTACGTATTCCTACTTCTTCCTATGAAATTTTTTTGACGTATTCCTGCTTCTTCCTCTGAAAATTGGATTTGGTATACAATAGACTCGTTTTATCATTTTCTGTAAGTGAGAATATGTGGTGATTTCGTGTTATATATTGAGTCTTTGTATGTGTGAATGAAGATGGGTGAAACTGTACATTTTTATCATTTAATACTTCCAATTGTTATTGACCTTTTGGAGTTAGGACCAGGTGCCCCCTTCCAGGAATTTTTTATGGGAGTCTTGTGGTTCAGATTTGTTTGATTTAGGAGCTTTTGCAATTAGAGGGGGAGTTTGTATCATTAGTGGCCAATGTGCTCTGTAATTTTACATGGTCTTGGATACAAATGGAAAAACTTCATTCTTAATAAGTTATCTACTTCTCTAACATTTTTTTATCATATTGCCCTAAATCTCTGAGTTTGAAATCTTTGTTCCTCAGTTCGTTCATCCGCATCTCAGTCTTCTTTTGCTAACAAAATTTCTTATATATGCTAGTGTTGCTCTATTTTTAGGTTTCTGACTTTTTGGGCTTTCTTTAACTGTAACTTTTTATGAACCGTGGCATTTTGTGCTAAAATATATTATGCACATAATATAATCTTTACTGATAATTTGTGGGTTGATTTTATTTTAATGTCCATATCTAATTTTATTTTGCTCAGTTTGTATCAAAAAAGTTAGAGAAAACAGATGGGCTCTGTTGAATAGCTATATGTTCATTCAAAAAAGTAAGAGAAAATCAGTAACAAGTAATTACATATATTTCTTCATATGTAACTAAATCATTATAAATGGATGGGTAGTTGCGTCATTGCACTTTAATTTTTGCCAATTGGATCATTACAAATTATTTTTGTTTCTGATTTGCTCATTGCAATTTGTGTCAACTAGATTATTATATTTTCACTCCAAAATTGTTTCTTTATATGTGTATTCAACTATACTAGTATTTATATACTTTCCAGGTACAAGAGTAAAAATAGTTGTTTAACAGATCTGCTACTTTAAGTTCATAATTTTTCACCCCAGTCCTTGTGCACAGAGCATTGTATGTGTGTTAGTAATAATGAATTGTGTTATGTTACTGTGGTTAATGTGATTCTTTTACGTGGTTGAACCAGAAAATTTCAATGGCGGGCAAGAATAAGGGAATTTGCCATTGTTGTAGAACGTCGGGATATATGATGTCGGAATGCCCCAAAAAGATAAGATGCCCATAATGTGGTGCGGGGTTTGTCAAATGGATGGAGGTGGAGAAGAACAATGAACATAAAGGTTTTCTTTTTCATTGTTGTACAAGCGGCTGCAAGTACTTCAAATGGTGTAAAAAGAAGTCCGGTGAAAAATGTATATTCCATGACGACGGAGAACCAAGTGGCACTACAAATGATGCTAAGCATGTAGACGATTTGTCGCATATGTTGAATTCGCTTGCTAAGCTAACGGACGAGAAAGACTTGGAGATTTCCCTAAACATAAAGATGAGGAAAGGAAAACGAGTTTCGGAAGAAGATTCCATCTGAAATCGATGTACTGGGAATATGAATCTTAATTAAGAAGATGCCTTTCATCTTTGATGAAAGAATGAATTTTACTTGCACGGTGTGGGGTGAGTTGGTATGTTAGAGACAATTTAAATAAATATATTTGTCCACTTCCCTAACTGTTTGATCTTTCTGTTTATTTGCAATCCAGAGCTCATTTAACCATTTCAATGAATGTTGGGTTGAAAAACATAAAATGCTTATCTTCACTTATGTATGTAATGTGACATGGTTTTTTCTGCATTGGTTGTTTCCTATTTATTCTTTTTTGTATCTTGCCAACATTATGACCAGAAACTAAGCTCGTTATGAGGGAGCACATTTCTGACACCCCCCATATAATCAACTTCACTGCAAGATGTACATCTAAAAGAACATTCACAAAAGAGAGTGAAAAATGCATACAAGAGAAACGTGGTGCTAAGTATAAAGAAACATGGACAAGCAAACAATGCATGAAGCTTACCTATAGAACCTGAATAGACACTCTATCCCATAATTATAATTAGCAGCAGCATCTTCAAGAGCCAGAGTCCGAAACTCGTTATACATGGAAGGAATAAATATGTTCCTTAAGAAATAAGACCAAAATCGATAGAGTGTATTCATCTCCTGCAAGAATTGCAAGTGGCATTTATACATCAAAGTACACCATTCAATCCGTCCACATTCCATATAAACATATGGATGGATAAAACCAAGACAAATAAACAGTTGGATTGCTGGAGAAGTTAAAAAGAATAAATCAAGAGAAACTGTATACACAGCATCCACAATAAATTTATGTATGAATAAAATATTCATATATTGCATTATATAAATCCTTTTAAACCAGAGAAATTTAGTAGATTGTCCAGTTATAGAATTGCACGTGGCATTTAGTTGATGTCCTTTATTAAGAAACTAAAGTGAACCATAGTTCACATGAAAAAGGACACAACACCCAAAATTACAGCAACTTCTGGGTACAATTACAGCAACCAAAATAACAGATACCAAAATACCTCTAATCTCAAATGTTTGAGGTATAATCCTGGGTACAATTACAGAAACCAGTCAAAAACCAAAAATAATAGTATGTGAAACTCATTACATAATACAACCACTTATTCATGTTCACTAGCAGGCGTGAATAACGATCCTATTGGAGGATCCTTTGTTTGCATGACAAAGGCAGCCTGAGGTATAGACTGGTGGGCATCGTACATCCAACTTGCCATGGCACTTTGAGATGATGGCATCAATGGGTGGAATGGCATTGTAGAACCTATTGTAAACATTAAAAGGTCAACGATATGGGGGAAAGAACCATGTAGGGATATATACATACGAAACCAAAAGATTACCTGGGTAATTGAATACAACATTTGACGACGACGGAGTAATGGAATTTGAAGCCGCCAACGGTTGTGTAACTACCTGCCTCTCTTGCCAACGGTCACCCTACATGCAATGACAATGCAATTATAAGTTGCGGCCATTGAACGAAACAAAAAAAAAACAATAAGGAAAAGTGAATTCCACATACCGAAGTAAATTGTGGATATGAGAACGGGGTGGATATTGAATATTCTGCTTGCCGGGGTGCTTCAACGACAGGTGTGTCCTGTGGAAGATTGCTGAGCCTCGATTGCGGTCTCTGTCCTGAACTTGAAGACGGTACCTATCAAAGACAGTGTGAAGTTTTAAATTTTGCATATGTTCCGGTAAAATAAAGTATTGACAAAGTTACACATAATACCTTTGATTTCTTCGAACTTAGCTCCAATGGGCTTTTCTTACGGAGTTTCTTTGGTGCATCTTTTCGTTTCGAGCATTTAGGATCTTGTATGTGGCCACTTCCTATGTCATGTGATGCTTTAGACTGGGATCCTAGAAGGAAAGTGGGTGGAGAAATGTTACTATTTTGAGAACTCAACCTAGTACCCATTATCTGCTTACACTGCAATCAAATCCATTCCACAATCTCACGAAATTGATCCTCATTCTCCGCGGCTATATTTGCTAATGTAGCAAACTCTTCACACATTCTATCATACCTCAACTGGTCAGGAGTGCTAACCAAACCGTCGTAATTCACCGCAACCCTCGTGTGAGCTCTACAAACATCTCTCCTCCATCTCTTTAATATGTACCTATCCGGTAGTGATGTGATGCCATTACGCATCAAAACTGATATGGCATGTCTACACAAAATTCCTCAAAACTCAAAGAGATGACAACTGCAAATAATGTCGCACTCCTCCGCACGAAACAACATCGTGAATTTTTTCTTCATGTCCTTCTTCTCGTAAATGACGTCCTCCTCAACCTCATACGTCCTCCCCGAACATCCGTCAGATATAGTTAGGACATCGCAGTACATCTTTCCGGTTATCTCATCCTGAAATTCGTGAAATTTAGATATGGTATACACTGCTTGAAATTGCTTTTCCATTTCGTATCTCGATGCGCACGGCACCATTTTTGAATAAGACTTGAAATCTGCATGGAACTCCTTCTCAACCTTGCTTCGCAGTGCTCGTTCGTATTGTTCTACGAACTGCTTCAATGATGTCTTCACATGCACATACCCATCGAAGATTGCATTTACACTTTCACTACGTTGAGTAGTTGACATCCCTGCCCAGAAAGTTGTTTTCAAATAGCATGGCACCCATCGACGACGATTCTCATACAACCCGGACAACCATTCATTGTCGTATAAGTTATAGTGCATAATCATCAATTCCCAACCTTCCTCAAACTCTTCAACAAACTGGGAGTCATATACTAGTCCGTGCATACATGAAAAAATGGAGCTCTTATCCTTGTGATATCCAAATTTTTCTGGCAATTTTTTTAATATGTGCCACAAACACCATCTATGTCTCGTATTCGGAAACACTATTTGAATTGCATTCTGCATAGCCCTATCTTGATCAGTTATAATTCCATTAGGAGCTTGACCATGCATGCACAACATCCAAGTTCTGAACAACCAAACAAATGTATCCGTATCCTCATTTGACAGCAACCCACATCCAAGCAATATCGACTGTCCGTGGTGATTTACTCCAACAAAGGGGCAAAAGGCATATCGTATTTATTTGTCAAGTAAGTGGTATCAAATGTCACCACATCACCGAATTCCTTATACGCTTGCCTAGACCTATTATCTGCCCAGAACAAATTCTTAAGCCGAGACTCGTCATCTAAATCCATTGCGAAATAAAACCCAAAGGAACGTGCTTGCATCTCCGAAAAGTAAGATTGTATTGCTGCGGCATCTCCTTCACCTAGTCTTAATCGCCTCACTTTTTCTACATAATTTCGGCAATCCCTTTCAATGCAAGGCAGATTCTCATACCCCCCGGCTTCAACCACTGCAGAGTTAAAACTCTTATGTAAAGGTATTCCAGCTATATCATTCACTTCTAGTTTTCGTTTCACATGTGTACTTAATTCTCTGTTACATCGATACAATCTGGATTTCGACGGACTTGTTTTATGATTATGTTCGAGATCAACCGTGCAGATTTTCCATATTCCACGAATATCTGAAGAAGCGGTTATCCTCGCTTTGCAACCTGTCTGCATTGTTGGTTGCGGCTTCAAAGAACCTTCGCTTTTGTTGCGTCGTTGTCCCTCACGACTACATGTCAACGTAATGTATGTCACTACACCATTTTCACCCTTTCTAGAATTTCTTCTCCTTACCGGAAAGCCTACTTCGTATGCATACTTCTTGTAAAATTCAAACAATTCTTCTTGGTCATTGAATTTCATACCCACCTCCGGCATAACTGTAACATCCCCTCCTACATTATCATTTTCCAATATGATTACATTGTCCGTCAACTTCTCATCATTGGATTCGACAACTACTTCGTCATCCAATACGTCCACTATTTCTTTCCCTACATCGAAATCAACAAGCAGTATTAAACAAAATGGGGAAACGTAGTAGCGGGATGCAGGTTAATTATAATACGGTATCAAGTCTCCATGCTTTCACTTCCTCGAGAATTGAACAATTTTTTCATTGAACACATTAAACTAAGCAGATAATGTCTAAGCAGAGAACACATTAAACTAAGCTGCTCCGGTGCTACTTTTAAGTTAACATTTCAATCTCAGCCAAACGTGCTTTAATAAGTCAATTCTTAGTTTCTCACATCACAATGTGGAAACGTAATGGAGAAGTTAATCAAGTTAGGGTTGGTAATAGAGGGGAACAGATTATGACAGTCTTTACTATTTTTGGATGCCTAGCAAGGATGAATTTAAAAATCCCTACTTATATTATTTATTTAAAAATAAAATAAAGAGATTTAAGATTGCTATGCGAAGCTGAGAATAAAATTTTACAATCTGCTGGCCTTGTGACATATATATCTAAATCTAAAAGACAAAATAACTTTGGTAAATTAATACACATTGATGTAAATAGGCAAATAAATATTCTGAAACTCGTTCGTATTGTCCCTCTCTCGTATAAGTTACATTGAATTTTTTTTAACGAACGGTAATAGTTGTATCCATATCAAAATCCGATTTACTTCTACTTTTAACGACAAATGGCTTATAAAAGATATTATATTTTTGGTGAATACAACTTTGCTGTAGAATTCTAGAAATGGATTCTACCTACCTTTCTCGTTAAATTGTTCGGCGTCTGGGGTTGGGTCAGTGCATGTCATGGCTACCAAGTAAAAAAACTGAACTGAAAAGAACCCAGTCGTCGGAGGTGGGTCGGACAGATGAATGTTAAGGGTTTGCTCGTGAGGGTCAGAATTTTGCAGGAAACGGATTTGGGGAAAATTGCTAATAGTTGGGGAATATATGTATCTGTATCCGGGTTACTCAAATATTGGGCCCGGTTAAAAGATTAAAATCTGACCCTGTGACCCGAGTCTCCTTCCCGCCTCTCAGCAGCCATGTCAGCAAATTCGAATTGGTGTGAAAGAAGCTGTGAACGGGTGCTGTACAACCAGCATAATTCTTGATTGATATTTGAGTTGGTGGGGACAAGTATGAATGCATATAATAACTTATACAGATTTGTTTACACATTTCTTTATATAACGATGACTTAGTGAGTACTTTCACGTTAAAATTTTACTAGTTGTACAATTGGGTCGACAACCCCAATTGACAACCTTTTTCATTTTCACGGGAGGGGACTCATGATTTTCTTATTCATCGTGGGTTCCCTCCTATGCGTGTGGTTGTGAATTCCGACTGTACATATAGCATGATCAAATGTTAAACTAGGAGGATAACTGCTAACCAGGTCGGCATCTGTAAATGAAATTTGTTTATTATCCTTCTCTATTTATGGACCCAAAGGCTAGTCACGCTGTAACACTGTTAATGTTATGAAATTGTGCCCCCAGGGCACATCTCCAAGTGGTAAAAGGGGAGAGTGGAGAAATTCAACTTTGCTTGAGGCTGCTGCGTCAAGGGTTCGAATCCTGAAATATGGATTTGGCTCTTGGGTAAGTGCAAGTGTACAAGCAGCCTTCCACCCTATACCCTTGGAGGCATAACCTGCGATTTACCTCCCTCACGATACTCTAGGGCAGGCGTGGTGGGGGACCCTTAAAGTTAGGGTTTAACCTTTTTTTTTTTAATGTTATGAAATTGTACCTTTTCTTTTTTTTTTTCCTTGTAGAAACTAAGGCCCTGTTTGGCACCCATTTTTATCAAAATGCATTTTTCTCTCTCTTCTTTTCAACCATACATTCTTTATTAAAATAATATTACACGTAAATCAAAAACTTTTTTTTATTTTTCAACCACACATTTTCCATCAATTTACTATTCAAAAATGCATTTTCACAAAAAAATTCCTACCAAACACCCTCTAATAATGCACTCTCAAAAGTGTGTTTCTTGTTTACGAGGCAGTGCATGCGGCAATCACTTCCATCTGTTTTTGGTATGTACAAATGCATCGATCACTTGGATAGTTGGATTTTTAATTTTCTCTCTGACAATTTTGACCTGGCGGACGTAGAGGGTGTCTTCATGATCCAAGTTTCGTCCGTATTGTGGCCGCCCATGTCTATGTGGGGACAGTATGGAAAATGGTGTGACTTGTGCTGGGCCCGGCTACGTAACTGCACATTTATAATTACTTATAAATGATCAAATTCACATATTTTTAAGGATACACAACTTTTGTCAAGAGCGTGTGGCCGAGTTGGCAAAAAGGCATGGCCTGGGAAACTGGGTTGGCTTCGACGAGGGTTCAACCCACGCTTGAGACATCCGCCTTCTCCTTGGAGAAGATTTAACCGGCTGGTGTGGTTGCGGGTCTTGTGCCAGCCCCTAGGTTTACCTAGTGCGCACTGGTAGTCGGGCCTCCGCTCTAAGAGTGGTCGGGGCTCCGCCAGTAGCAGCTGCGGGTTCCTGGGTTATCAAAAAAAAAAAAAAAGGATACACAACTTTTACTAGAGTTATTATGTAGAACATGCCGCTCAATCGTTCCCAGACAAACAAATCGAACGCTTGAGGAGAGTGCGAGCAGACTTGTACAAGGTCGCTTGCAAACCAAGCGAAGTAGTAGAGCGATAGCTCATCAGTTGTGCTCGAGCAAGCTCCAAATATGGACTTGTAAATCGTGGCTACTCATTTGTTTACTTAGCCCTTTTTTTCAAATTTTTTGCCTAATTTTAATGGCTTTTAGGACCGTTGCAAAGATAGCATTTTTTTTTCTTTTTAAACTTTCTATCTCACGATGGAACCCATCTGCTAAAGAAAAAGGGGTCAAAAAAGTCATTCTTAGGTGAAATAATGCGAAACAGACAGGGGCTTATAAATTCACATCTTTATTATACTTCGATGGTGAAAATGCAATTTTCAATTTTTTAAAGAAAAAATTGAATCGCAAACCGGATTAGCTAAAGTTCTTTTAGGCGAGCCAGCTCATGCTCGATTCGCCTCTTTGGGACACACTAATTACAAAGAATTATAAATGTTGACATAAATCAAGTTATTTTACAAGTTAATTACTCTGAAAACTATTGAACTTTTACCCTAGTTGCAATCAGTAACTGAATTTTCATTGGAGTGTCTATTAAGATTAACGAAATTCTAACGTGTCCATCCAAGTCACCAAATTAATAACATTGGAGATAAGTGAACTTTCACTCCGATTACAATTAGGCCGCTGAACTCTCACCCTAATTGCAATCAGGCACACTAAACTTCTTGAAAGCAATCAAGTCATATTCTTAAATCTTTTACCGTATAAACAACAACAATTAGTTAAAAATAATGGATTTCAAAACTCAAACTGACTTCTCAAAGTCAATCAATGGAAAAATAACTCCATTTGAAACCACAAAAAGAAAAAAAGGGAAAAAAGAAAAAGAAAAAAGAAAAGCCATTGATCTAATATCACAAGAATAATCAAACATAGGTTCCTAACTAGAATAAAAATTGTGCAGAACAAGGAAAAATCAACAAAGTTTATTCAGAAAATTAAATCTCGAAAAAAGAAAAATGTAGAAAACAAGAGTCATAAAGAGATTTTAGAAATTTATTAGACATAGATTGTAAATGAAATAAAATTGTTATGAAATTCCATAATACCATAGTTATTGTCACACAGACGACAAGAAAATATTAGGGTCTGTTTGATTGCAAAGATGGAATTTGGGTAGAAGGAAAATGAATTCCAGGGAATTAAATTATCTAGAAATTGTTTCCCTAGGACTTGTTAATTTTTGTGTTTGATTAATATAATTTTTCACGTGAAAAATGTTGAAATAAAAATATTTTTTGGGGTTCGTTTTGTTTTGTTTTACATGAAAATTATCAATTAAAGGGATCAAATTTACTGGTATTGGAGATATAATTTGTTTCCATTGCAAATAATAATAATAATAATCAAGAAAATCATCTATCTTTTGATGTATGTTTTCCATTGCCCATAAAAAAATAAAACTTGAACAGTGGGTTGGAAACCAAGAATACCAATTCCCAATACAATCAAGAAAATATAATTCCATAAAAAATAAAACATATCAAACACACATAATTGGAAAAAATGTGGAATTCGAATTCAATTTTCCATAGAACTCGAACCAATCAAATAGGCCCTTAGAATAAATAGAGCAGTCTTTAGTAAAAACGTCAACAATGGATAATGCACATCTTTGAGAATAGCAAAACGTCACTAATTTTCACTGAAGTCGCCATAGATGCTTTGTTTATTCAGCATCCTTTCAAAATTGTTCACTCTTGCATGTGAACTTCATTTATTAAATATCGTATGATTTTTTTCTTGATTTGAAATAATTTTTAAACTACCATGAGTCAATTTTAGAAACGGTCAGTTCACTGATAAGTTCGAAATTTTAATTTAATAATTAAAGTATTTTTTTTGACTAATTTATTCAGTAACATTAATGAACTATATATTATTGGTTATAGTTCAATGAATTGTTAGCATCTAGGTGAAAGTTCGGTGACCTCTAGTGTAATTAGCCCGTTATTTTACACTTCCCTTTCGGTTGACATGAAAAATTATAGAATAATATTATTCGCAGTGAAAACTACCGGCAATCGTCCTATGTGGCGTACACTCGACAGTTTTTCATTTGATATATAATTCAAAAAATAACTACCATATCTACGTACCAAATATCAAATTGCCAAGTGTATGCCACATAGGACGATTACTGACAGTCTTCACTACGAAGAGCATTACTCAAAATTATACTATTGGTCTTATTTCGATGGTAGTTATTTTGTCAAAAATTCTAATATACCCTTCACGGAGCTCCCAAGCAGCGGCGGATTTACCCATTTTAATTTTTTTGTAGGTAATTTTATTCTAATATTAGCCCCGCTTAAAAAAATTTCTAGTCCGATCCTGAATTCTTACTCTTAGGGGTGGTAATCGAGCTAAACGATTTGCCAGCTTGCCCACTTGGCTCGTAAAAAGGCTGCTCATGGATGCCTTGGGCTCATATTTGGATGACCTCGAGCCCAAGCCGAGTGGGCATGCTCACCAGGCGAGTCGAGCCCGCTCAACTAACCCACAGGCAAACAACTCTATGGGCTTGTAAAAAAAAGGAACAAAAAGTCAAAAAAATTTTAGAAAAATTGGGCTTGGCTCGGCTTGCCCTTGAGCACTAGACGAGCTCGTGGGTAGATGTGCCGAGCCGGCTTAACTCGGCCTATTGTAATCCCACCCAATGATTCGAATAAGGAGAAGGAAGCATTATTACTTTTCGAATAAATTTTACTTTTTAGTACAAAAGATAGCTTCTAACAAATCACTTGTTTTCTCTTCGCTCTAACCCGGAAGAAAAGCAGTTCTTCAAAAAAATAAAATCTCATAATGTTGAGAATTTTGGGAAAAAAAATTGAAATTAATATCTAAAACGCGATCCTTAGCTGACCTAAATAACGATCATTAATAAATTATAAAGAATAAATTGAAGGGTTTAGAGATGTCACTAAATAAAATAGGGCACAATCTTTCAAGTGTCTTATTCCTTCGATTCCTTAATTATTAGAGCATCTAATTATGTGATTCTTTGCATGCTTCCCTTTGCTGTTAATTCTCTGTTCCATCACATTAATATTATTTTATTTTGTAGCATAATATTTAGTTTATATAAATTACTTATTTGACCATAATAAAAATAATAAACTATCAAAATATTTTAAGTTATACAATATAAAATATTATTGTTTAGATAACAACGTAATAAATTAATGAAGTATTTAAAGTCAAAAAATGTTACATTTGTCTTGTATTACTACTTATTTTACCAAATATTAATCAATTCACGCACATAAAAAAATAATAAATAAATAAATAAAATAAAATTGAAAGTACAGAGAAAAAAATGAACTGTTTGACCTCTAACATCATTTTTCATATAAGTTAAGTTGTTTCATTTGTATTGGATAAGATGTAACGTGAATCACAAAACATAGATGACGAGAAGCAAGAAAAGAAGGCGGGAATCTTTGCGATTTCGATAAAATTGAGAAAATGCAACATAGCAAGTAGTTGAAGTCAAATCTCATTGTCACTCATAAAAATTGCGAACGTGACACACCTTTGATGAAAAATGAATCCCACTTGCTCATGAAGGTATGGGATATAACAAATAAACATTGCAAAATTCTGTTAACAGTCATAATTCTATTATATTTGACCCTACGTGACCATACATGCCATTAGTCAATTGAAAAATAAAAGACAAAAAGGAGAAAGCGCTGGTAAATGCTGTTATTTCTCTTGCCTTTGTTAAAAATGAATATGGAAACAAAAGTATCACATTAGTTTACATGACAATGGTGCTTTCTATTTTAAAATAATGATATTTACACTACATAGTTCATCTCTCTAACGGTCTAACTTAAATAGAAAATGTTATAAAACGGTTCTATATGAAAAGAATTTTGCTGGGTTAATAGGACAGAACCTCTACCAACACTCAAACCAAGCAGGACCCACCTGTATAAAAAACTACCAAAAATCCCACCCACTCCCCGGTGCTGTGAGTATTCGGTATGCTAGCCTGTACATGAAGCACCTCTCATATGAAAAAGATGCATATGTTGAGCACCCCAACAGGTGTTCTCTCCCACCAAACGACCTCGAGAGGATAACAGAATACCTCGTGGTCCCGAAGTGACTCATTTAGTGCGGTAGGTGCATTATTGTATCTTGCTAACGGTACACGACTTGATATAACATTCTCAATTTCACAGTCGAAAATGTCAGTTTTTTTCTTCTGGAGGTATGAACTTCTGAGAAGTTTAAATCTTCACAGATTTCAGTAAATGATGATCATCTGGAATCCAATTTTCATCCACAAGATCAAGATCATCCAAAGATTTGATTGAGTTATTGCCAATTTCAGAAATTTTTATTTGATCCGCTAATTCTCTCAATATCTGGTATACATCTTGGCAACAAGGGTGTGAATGATCCTCTGCATTGAAAGCATGCACCTCATTTTGAACTTCTATCCAACTCCAACCAGGTACTTTCTTGACTCCTCTCTCTTTCATCAGCCTCTTTACGTTAGCCTTCTCGTCCCACCTCTTAAGATGTCCATACATGTCCGAGAGAAGAACATAAGTACAGTGTTCTCCGGGCTCGGGTTCTAGCAAATGACAGGCTACCTGAGTTGCCAATTCTATATCACCACATGACCTACAGGCACCTAATAGAGTTTTCCACACCATGGCATCGGGTTCAAATGGCATTTCTTTGATCAGCTCTTTTGCTTCCAGTAGACGTCCAGCTCGACCAAGTAAGTCAATAGCACAGGCGTAATTTTCCATTTGTGGGCGAACTCCATATTCAGTTTCCATGGATTTTAGGAACGTAAGTCCTTCCTCTACCAGACCAATGTGACTACATGCAGTTAGAACAGCAACAAAAGTGATGTGATCCAGCTGCACGTCTTTCTCTCTCATCAAGGAGAAGAGGTCGAGAGCAACTTTACCTTGCCCGTGTTGCGCATAAGCAAAAATGATTGAGTTCCAAGTTATTGAACTGTCCTTGCATGATGCATCAAAGGATTTCCAGGCATCTCCAATTATCCCACACTTTGAATACATGAAGATCAAAGCACTCGCAACATATTCATTCACCTCAAATCCAGATTTTGCAACCAAGGCGTGAATTTGTCGACCCAATTGGAGTGTGGCCAAATCAGAGCAAGATCTAAGGACAGCTGAGAAGGCATAATGATCAACTTTTCGGTACTCGAGATGCATCTGTCCAAAGAGCTTCAAGGCATTTTCACTCAAACCATTTTGCGATAACCCTGTCAAAATTGTATTCCAAGAAACAAGGTCCTTGACATGCATGAACTCAAAGATTTTCAGTGCATTATTTATGCTGCTGTTATTGGATTTCAGATACATCGAAATCAAGGCATTAGCAATTGGCGTTAACCGTTCAAATCCCCTCTTTAGAACCAAAGCATGGAAAGATCTCCCTTGACTCTGTTGAGAATCCACAAAACAAGCACTTATTATGGTAGTATATGTATAAATATCTGGTTCTAAACCAAGCTTTTCCATCTCCAAGAAGAGCTTAAATCCATATTTTTCTTGATCATGCTCCGTATAAGCTGCTAGCATTGAATTCCAAGTAACCAGATCTCGGTATCCCCAAGTAATATCAAAAATTCTTTCCGCATCATCAATGCACCCACACTTTGAATATGCGGTGATCAAAGCATTATAGACAGTGTTATCAAACTCTAACCCAAGTTTCATAATCTTCCCATGAATCTGCTTCACGGACATGCAAAACTCAACCCCATCTAGCACTGTCAAGAGTGGTGCAAAGGTGGCATCATCAACCCCCACACCTTCCCTTTCCATAGACAACATCAATTGAGAACAACGCTTGTGATCTCCCATTTCTGCATATCCCGCAATCAAAGCATTCCACGACACAGAATTCCTCTCCGGCATGTCATTAAACACCACACTTCCATCCCCAACTCTATCACACTTCACGTACATATCCAAAAGCGCACTGGCAGCATAGACATTTTCCTTATACCCCATCTTGATCACATCAGCATGCACCTGTTGCCCACATTCAAGATGATTACTCGAAGCGACGCCCTTGAATATGCTCCCAAAAGTATAGCCATCAAACACAAACCCATTATTCTTCATGGATTTCAAGACTTCCCATGCCATGTCAAAGCATCCAGAATTTACATACCCTGCTATCAGGGTGTTCCAAGAGACGGTATCTGGAGTAGGCATTTCGTCGAACAGTTTGAGAGCATTGCTCAAGTCTTTGCATTTTATGTAGCTGTTTATGATGTTGTTGGCAGTGTAAGTATCTGTAATCTGTGACACCTTGATAGCTTGGCAATGGGTTGGTAAAACTTTTGATAAATTGGCGAGTGTGGTTTCAGTGAATATTTGCAGTGGCCTCATTCAAGAGAGAGCGCATGTTTAATTAAGCTTGAAAAAACAATTATAAGTAGATAAGTAAACTTTATCGTTAAAGGTAACTTTTTTCACGTTAATAAGTAGTAAAAAGTAATTTATTTAGAAAAAAAAAGTTATTTTAAGCTTAGCAATTAGCTAATATACAGTAATTACTGTTGAAAAAATTGGTTTTAATTAGTTGATTTGACCAACTTTTGACCAATTAATTTAGTGGGTCCCGTTAATCGGAAATAAGATTTCTTTGGCCGAATGTATTCTACTCTATGAGTAAATTAATATGGTATATTTATTTTCTCAAAACCAATTTAAGGTGAATGAGAAATTAAGGCCAAAAGATGCCTACTTGATGTTGAAATAAAATAGGTGGGAAATTGAAAAATACCAATCCCACATAGGAAAACTAGAAGAATATAAACCACCTTATATAGCTCAAATTTGGGATTTGGGTTTGGGCCCCAAGGAGTACCAATAGTCTTTGAGGGGGAGAGAACCTACATGCTAGTATGTTAAACCAAAACCCACACGTGCGCGCCGCCGCCGGCCGGCTCGTCACGGTATATTTTTTGGTAAAATAACATTTAATTATATTATTTTATAATAATAATATATTTTATGTTATTAATTTTTTTTCCTTCCCCGAATTTTCTGTGTGTGACTCGTGACAACCTTTCAACATCTATAAATAGGCCCCCATACCCCGATTTTTATTCATTCCAAAAATCAGAATTGATTTTCTACTCTCCCGAAATTATCCCTTTGTCCTTACATAATTTCTGTTCTTATAATTCAGTTCTTGAAAATTACTTTTCGTGCATTTCACTCATCCAGTGTGTGTGGAGAGATCTAAACTTTACGGGTTCGTCATGTCTTGTAATTTGGAGTACTATTATTACAAGACGAGGTCATTGTATCTTAGGAAACGAGTGCTGCAATACCGTTAGTACCAGTGCGGGGCATTATCGTTTTAAGGAGAAAGAGTAAATAGTAAAAAGTAATTTATTTAGAAAAAAAAAGTTATTTTAAGCTTAGCAATTAGCTAATATACAGTAATTACTGTTGAAAAAATTGGTTTTAATTAGTTGATTTGACCAACTTTTGACCAATTAATTTAGTGGGTCCCGTTAATCGGAAATAAGATTTCTTTGGCCGAATGTATTCTACTCTATGAGTAAATTAATATGGTATATTTATTTTCTCAAAACCAATTTAAGGTGAATGAGAAATTAAGGCCAAAAGATGCCTACTTGATGTTGAAATAAAATAGGTGGGAAATTGAAAAATACCAATCCCACATAGGAAAACTAGAAGAATATAAACCACCTTATATAGCTCAAATTTGGGATTTGGGTTTGGGCCCCAAGGAGTACCAATAGTCTTTGAGGGGGAGAGAACCTACATGCTAGTATGTTAAACCAAAACCCACACGTGCGCGCCGCCGCCGGCCGGCTCGTCACGGTATATTTTTTGGTAAAATAACATTTAATTATATTATTTTATAATAATAATATATTTTATGTTATTAATTTTTTTTCCTTCCCCGAATTTTCTGTGTGTGACTCGTGACAACCTTTCAACATCTATAAATAGGCCCCCATACCCCGATTTTTATTCATTCCAAAAATCAGAATTGATTTTCTACTCTCCCGAAATTATCCCTTTGTCCTTACATAATTTCTGTTTTATAATTCAATCCTCGAAAATTAATTTTCGTGCATTTCAGTCATCTAGTGTGTGTGGAGAGATCTAAACTTTACAGGTTCGTCGGGTCTTGTAATTTAGAGTACTACTATTACAAGACGAAGTCGTTGTATCTTGGGAAACGAGCGCTACAATACTGTGAGTACCAGTGCGGGGCATTATCATTTTAAGGAGAAAGAATCAAACTCTTGTCTCGACCGTTCAAAACCATCCAAACATCGTTACTCTACCAAATATAAATTACGGTAACACTATTATTTGCTATTATTTTTCTACAATTACTAACTTCCATAATTATTCTTCTGATAGAGGTTAAATCGTTCTCTTAATTATCGGCGGTGCGACTTTAACTCGTTTCTTTGTTGGTAAAGCTTGCGACTTTCACCTAAAGTTGCACGACTTTACTTCAAAAAAGAAAAATTACTGAAGAGAAATGCATAAAAGAATAAATCAATAAATCAATAAAGAAAGAAATTGTAGAATTGTTCCTTCAATTTTTTTTGTTCTTTTCCATTTTCTGTCAATTTATTTGTTGACACATGGTAACAAACTTTTACAAAAAGATCTATTCATAATTTAAAATAAAAAAAATACTAATTTTAAATTTATATAGTTATTAATTTTATTAAAATAATATAACAAAATCTTAATAAATAAGTTCCATAATATTAAAAACTTTATTATTAAACAGTCATTAAAATTCACTAATCAATTTAAATTTAGCATTGTATTGAAAAGCTCATCATACTTGGTATAATTTCTCTCGTATTTAGCCCATATTTGATTTAAATTAAAATTATATTTTTAACTGATTTTAATAAAAATTGATAAAAATATGTATTTGAAAAGTTGTAATATTTGATTAAATCATGTTTTATGCTGCAATACTTGTCATGAATTACTTGTCAGACATATTTATTGGCAACGTTTGACGTGTGATCTCTCTGTTGGCCGAGAAGCCCAAAGATAGGTGACAAATGTTGTCGATTAATATATTCCGCAAGTGTATGGATTGTAAAAAGCAATAAAGTAAATCCAAGAGTTTGGATATCGTTCACATGAGGACTACTATTTAACAATTAGTTCAATTATTCCTAACTTCAATTTGTTCAAAAACAAATAATAAGTTTTGTAACTAGTGTCTAAATTATTCTAACTAAATTAATCTAACGTACACAACTTATCGAATTTGAATTTTAAAAGTATGAGTATGGATGCAAGGACTTACAACTTTACCTATGGATCCCCTTTAATTCGCCAATCAAGATTCAATACAATTGTAGCTGATAAGTATATTTTATACGCTTATTTAGATCTAAAAATATAGACATTTAATAATTCTTTAAGCCATTATAGCCTAATTTATTGTATATTTCGTTTATTAGGTAAAACTCGATGGTTCAAAACTGAATTGAAAGAAAAATAAAGCGAAAACATGCAAAGTACGGAGTTTGAGGATCAAATTGCAAATATCCAATTATTGATTTAAACCGCAATAGATATTTTGAATATTTATAGGAATCAATTGGATGCAATTAGAAGTAAAAAGGGAATGAAATATTATCAAAATATTACCATAAATCGACTTCCAATCACATAAGATATCTTACAGATTTTTAGTCAAATATTGAGACCCATTTTTAATATAGTAAACGTTCGAATTGGAAAAATTTTATCTCTAGCAAAATTGCAGCCCTTTGAGTTAGCTTTTTGAAGTATTTTGAATCAACTCAATCGGCTATCAGGAGACAAAGTTATGATCAACATACTGACTGTTGTGCAAAAAAAAAAAATTGCGCGCGAAATTAACTTTCCTTATTCGATTGGAACTTTTTTGGAAACAATTTGGACTTGATTTTCAACCAATTTTCGACTCCTACAAATACCTAACAATGGAATAATCTCCTACATCTCTCATATACATATTATACTATAATACTTATCAATTATTATTATCAAATAAGGAAAATTCATAGCTCTATTAGAGAATTGAAGGGACTTGCAATAACTCAATTAAGTGAGGATTCAAACTTGATTTTTGGGCAAAAAAGAAAGGATGTAAGTGGAGATTCATTGGGAAATCATTGAAGAGATTCAAGATTTCAAGTTTTATCTTCATCTTTTCAATTGATCAAAAATTCGAGTTATGTCTTACCACTTAAATATAATTTATTGTAATTTCAATATGTTTGGCTAGTTTTATACATTGTTACGATGAGATGAACCCTTGTTATGATATTTTTAGCTTTTAATTAATTATTTTGACTTTAATTTTGTTTGATCTGTGGATGTTTGTTATCGTTTTTATCATTCTTTTCAATTGCTTGATCACCAATTGAATTGTCAGTGAATTTTATTGTTATCGAGAGAGACGGTAGAATTTAAAGATAATATAATAAATATTATATGATTCGATAGATGATAGAGATGTACATCCATGTTTTATATGGTTTCAATAGGTATTCAAACATTTGTTAATGTATTTATTATGTTTGCATCTTTCATTGAGAGATAGAAAGACCACATAAGGAGAACAGATTTGATCGCTATCGAGAGAGGTCAATTAAATTAGGAATACTAATCAACACGAATTATTTCAAATTGTCAATTTAATTGTTACACTAAGAATAGAATAATAAGGGGGATTCGACATCTTAGCAATGCTTTCACATATTTAAAAATAAATAAATAAAAATCCATTAAATTGCTTTTAGTTTAATTGATAATTTAGATATTAGTATAGAAAACTCAAAATCTATTTACTATTCGATTAAGGTTGCTATTAATTTGAACTCGATCAAATGCATAATCCTCGTGAGTCGACACTCTATTCACTATTTTATTATTTGTTTATGATCCTGTCCACTTGCGGGAAATCAAACGATCAGTATTGTTTGATCGAATTCTTCTATTATATTCAATTTACCACTCTCTCGAATTCTCATTAAGCCTATTTAACTAATTCAATCTCATATTTCCAAGCGAATCAATTTTAGTTAAACGAAATATTAGTTAAAAGAATTCATCTAACGATCACCTTAATTAGTATATGTATCTCTACACGTTATACTAAATTATTGAATTTTAATGTGGTATAAATTTATAACTCACATCCCGATTCGTAATAGATTCACAAAATTATCGAATAATTGGCCAAATAATTCAAGCATTAAATACATAATTAAAATAAACAAATATGCATTTAAAGAACTTGAATCTTGAATAAAAAATAAATAAATGGTCACACATAGATTACACTGTTAACCCTAGATATGAATTTGACTATTCATAATAATGAATGAAAAACAAAAATATAGAGTTTACAACTGA